CCCCCCCCCCCCCCCCCCCCAGTTTTGGGGTGCCCCGGTGGTCGCGGGGGGGTCCCCGCTGAGGCCGGGCCGCTCGTGCCGCAGGTGACGATCTCCGTGGACGGGATCCTGACCACCACGGGCTACACGCAGGAGGATTTCACCATGCTGGGCTCCGACGACTTCTTCTACGTGGGGGGGTCCCCCAACACCGCCGACCTGCCGGGGTCCCCCGTCAGCAACAACTTCATGGGCTGCCTCAAGGATGTGAGTCTGGGGGCTCCGGGGAGCCGCCCCCGCCTCACCTGGGCACTGCTGCGGCCGCTGGGGGCGGGGGGGAGCAGGTTGGGGTTACCTGGACACCCCCCCCGACTCACCTGTGTGTGTCCCCGGGGACTGTGTGGCACATTTTGGGGACCCCCGACTCACCTGTGCATGTCCCCAGGGGTTAGGATGACATTTTGGGGACCCCCGACTCACCTGCCTGTGTCCCTGGAGACTGTGGGTCACATTTTGGGGACATCCCTGAGCCCCCCGACTCACCTGTATGTGTGTCCTCAGGGACTGTGGGTCTCATGTCAGGGACCCCCGACTCACCTGTGTGAGTCCCCAGAGGTTAGGGTGACCTTTTGGGGACCCCCGACTCAACTGTTCATGTCCCCAGGGACTGGGGTCACATTTTGGGGACATCCCCGAGCCTCCCGACTCACCTGTGCGTATCCCCGGGGACTGTGGGCCAAGTTTTGGGGACCCCCGACTCACCTGTTCACGTCCCTGGGGACTGTGGGTCACATTTCGGGGACCCCTGACTCACCTGTGCTTGTCCCCAGGGACTGAGGTCACATTTTGGGGACCCCCGACTCACCTGTGCGCATCCCCGGGGGTCTCACGGATGCACGGGGCGCGGTGACACCGCAGAACCGGCCCTGGGGGTCACATCGGGATGCTGCGGGGGGGGAGGGGAGTAGCGCCCGGACCCCCTCCCCAAACTCACCTGTCCGCGCCCCCCCCCAGGTGGTTTACAAGAACAACGACTTCAAGCTGGAGCTGTCGCGGCTGGCGCAGGAAGGGGACGCGCGGGTGACGCTGCACGGGGCGCTGCTCTTCCACTGCGACCCCCCCCCGGCGCTGGACCCCGTCACCTTCGCCACCCCCCAGGCTCACCTGGCGCTGCCCACCTGGCGCCCGGCCCGCGCCGGCTCCGTCTCCTTCGACTTCCGCACCACGGAGCCCAACGGGGTCCTGCTCTTCGGGCAGGGACCCCCCCGCGACCCCCCGGCCGCCGCCCCCCGCGGGCCGCCCCCGCCGCCCCCCGATTTCCTGGCGCTGGAGCTGCTGGACGGACACCTGTACCTGCTGCTGGGCATGGGCGCGGCCGGGCTGAGGCTCCGCGCCAGCGCCCGCAAGGTGACGGATGGGGAGTGGTGCCACGTGGATGTGCAGCGCGATGGGCGCAAAGGTGAGCGCGGAGGGGGTGGGTGGGGCTGTGCAGGTGTGCAAGGGATGTGCAGGTGTGAGGGTGGGGCTGTGCAGGTGTGCAAGGGATGTACAGGTGTGAGGGGAGGAGCTGTACAGGTGTGCAAGGGGTGTACAGGTCTGCAAGGGATGTACAGGTGTGCAAGGGGTGTACAGGTGTGAGGGTGGGGCTGTACAGGTGTGCAAGGGATGTACAGGTGTGCAAGGGGTGTACAGGTGTGCAGAGTGGGGCTGTACAGGTGTGAGGGGAGGGGGCGTGAGGGGGGTCACAGGTGTGCAGGGGCTGTACAGGTGCAGCTCACAGGAGTGCTGGGACAGGGTGGCCCCATCAGCCCCCTCTTTGTCACGCACCTGCTGCGCCCCAGTGTCCCCTCATGTCCCCCCTGTCCCCCAGGCCCGGTTCCCATGAGCCCCAGGGCGCCCCAAAAACCCCCTAAAGACCCCCAAAGACC